TTTTTTTTTTTTTTTTTCAACGATAGATTTTATACTCACAAGGAAAACATAGTATGTACAAATACAGGTGCAAAATGCAGAAGAAAAGGAACATCAAAAGAGATGACCTAAACAAAAGAATAAAAGCCTATTTCAACAAACTATTCTTGGCATGGTCTGATGCCATGAGGATCATGTTGTTGAAATGGAATTGCTAATACAAAGGCAAACAACTGTAAAAAGGTTACCTTGCCACTGAACCAATGGGCCTAGCAAGATTACCACCAATCAAAAACAAAAAAGCAACTAAGGAAGCTACACAAGCTAAAGGAAGAACTCCAAAAGAAAAGGAAAAAGCAAAAGAGGAGCTGCCAGAGAAGACTAAGCATCAAGGATGGAGCACATTTGCAAATTCAAGCCAAGCTGATGTTGCAGATTGAGCAATGGAGAACTCAGGAAGATTGAGCAATGGAGAACTCAGGAAGCCAGTGGTTTTGAAAAACCCATAGATTCCGGGCTTTCCAAATCCACCACAGAAGGTAGATGGTGAGCTGTAGCCTTTTCTCAGACATGTTATTCTTCCTCAGTGTGCTCAGCTTGGTCCACCAATGCTCAAAATTTGAAGTACAGTCCTCAACTCCCTCCCAGTCAACAAGGGCCAATTTCCAAACAGTCTTTGTTTTAGCACAATGGAATAACAGGTGCTCTATGGTTTCCAGTTCTGCTCCACAGGTTTTGCATACTGGATCAATAGATTGCATTCTCTTGTGAAGAGCCAGATTCACAGGTAGGGAGTTGTTAAAACATCTCCACAAGAAATGCTTCAGTTTCCCTGCTATTTTCAGAGTCCAAATTCTGCTTCTAGCTCTCTGCACTTCTCTGATCATAGAGCTACCTTCAGGGACATCTAGCTTTTTCCATTTTTCTCTGCTAACACTTTGTAAACTTCAGCAACAGTGAGAATACTTTATTTGCAATGTGGCTAAGTGAGGACATCATCAAGCTGGGGGTTCGTTCCTTTGATGCTAAGGATGGCAGAGCTTTCATTCTGAGGGAAGCACTGAAGAACCAAGTCCAAGTTCCAATTTCTTTCTGTATCATCCAACAGCTCTTGGACTTTGGTTAGTCTTCCTTGCAAAGGATTGTGGATGCTAGGTCTATGTGATGGTAAGGAGGGGATCCATGGATGGTCCCAAATGTGGATATCAGACCACTTGTTCACCTTGAAAATTACATTCTGAGCAAAGAAGGTCAAAGTTTTCCTCCAGCTGGCCCATAACCATGAAGAGTTTGACTGAGGTTTGGCTGATAGCAATGTGGATTTTGGAAAGTATTTAGCCTTGATGGCTCTGCTCACCAGAAGTTGAGGATGAGAATGGATTCTCCAAAGTTGTTTGGCAATTAGGGCCATGTTCATCAAGTGTATATCATGGAATGCCAAACCACCCTTATCTTTGGGCAGGGTGATAAGGTTCCATGATTTCCATTGAAGGCCTTTGCTACCTTGGTTTTGTTTTTCCACCAGAAATTAGCAAAGCCTTTGGCTATCTTGTCACAGGTTGCTTTGGGCAGAATTAAGCATGACATGGCATAGATGGGGAGAGATTCCAGCACAGCTTTCAAGAGGGTTTCTTTACCTAGCAAGAGAGAGAAATGTATTTTGCCATTTGGATAATTTGCTTTGGATTTCTTGGTCAACGTAGGAAAAGGTTTCCAGTTTAGATTTGCCAATCCCCAGGGGCAAGCCAAGGTATTTAGAGGAGGTTTGGGGTTGAATACCCATAAGAATTTGGCATATTTGGTTTTTGAGGGACTGGGGTGTGTTTTTGCAAAAGAAACAAATGATTCTTGCAGGTTAACACATTGCCCTGAGATGGCATTATATTTGCTAAGAATCTGGAGGATCAATTGTGCTTGGGTAGGGTCAGCTTTGCACAGAAGCAGAGTGTCATCTGCAAACATTATGTGAGTCAAAGTAGGGCTATTTCTACAGATTTTAATGCCTTTGAATGCACCTGAGGAGGAAAAACTGTTAATAATGGTAGAAAGAATCTGAGACACAAGCAAAAAGATGTAGGGAGACAGAGGGTCTTCCTGCCTAATTCCTCTAGTAGGGATCACATAACTACACATGGCACATGACCGCGCGTCGCGACGCGGCAAATTTAAATTTATAATATTACCTTGACTAACCTCTACTAACTAGTAGTAGCGGCGAGTAAGGGTCGATCCCACGAGGAGCAGGAATTAAATCGTGAAAATTTTCGTATTAATTGAATTAAACTACGAAAGCAATAAAGGTTGGGGGAATTGGTTTGTAAAACTAAAAATAAAAATAATAAAATAAAAATCAAATAAAATAAGAGAAGTCCAGTTTTCGGTTCAGTTATCGCCCAATCTAAATCTACCGTTAATCAATTTCAACGCCTTCTTTAAATTGCTAATGAATTACCGACCCTAACTAACAACAAGCTCTGTTAACCGGATTTTCCCTTACTGAATATTTAATCAAAATAGGCTCTTCGACTAAACCTAACTAGTGAACAACCTAGAATAAGCTCTCTAGATTTAATACACTAGCAGCATTAATTCTAGGAAAATAGATCAGTCTAAGCAATGGACGCGTAAGCTCGGACAATTTAACTTATGTTCACGCTACCCTAAGGATGCACGACCCCTAGTTTACTACTAATGAAACAAAGACAATAACAATTACGGATTAAAGTCTCGTATCTAGCAGTTAAACTATGAATATTTAACGTAGCTGGCCAAACTAAATCAAACATCATAATTCATAAACATTAAACATAGATAACGTGAATCAACTCATCAACAAAAATAAATACGGCGTCTCAATTAACCAACAATAAAAATAAATCCTTCAATTCATAGACAAATCAAAGCTAGGATTTAAACATCGCCTAAAACTGGATAAAAATCCTAGCCTAGCATACTAATAAAAATAAATAAAAAGATAAAAGAGAGAAGATAAAAATATCTCCCTCGTGTGCGGGTGCGGCTTCCCTCCGCGTGTGTAGCTCTTTCTCAGTTCGTGCGTCTCTGTCTGGCCTCTATTCTTCCGCTTTCTTCTGTTCGCGTCCTTTTTTTATTTTCTCAATTCTCCCCTCTATTAAGCGTGTAGTATCCCTCAAATAAATCAAGTGTCCATAACTTATCAAACTCTTCCAATAATTTTCTTGGTAAAAATGAATCCCTTTAGCCCAAATAATTGTCCCAAGACTCTAGCAAATATATCCACTTTCCTCCAGCTCAATGTTTACTTCAAAATTCCTATTCTGCTTATGTCTTTTTAATCAATCAATTTTTGATTAGTCAAATATTATTCTCCACGTGAATCAAACAAGTTTTGGGCCCTTATTTTGTAATGTGGTGCATATTAGGCCTCAATTGATCCGGTATAAAAGTCCGATGCTTCGCATACACAAATTGCTCCAAATTACTGAAAATTACACATAAAACATCAAAACAAATAAATCCATCTAAATAATAAACAAGTCGAAAAATATAAACGTGCGAATAAATTAAGCATATAAAAATACACAATTAAATATATAAAACATGCACAATTTTCGTCCCCGACAACGGCGCCAAAATTTGACCGCACGTCGCGACGCGGCAAATTTAAATTTAATAAGTTTTCCTATACTAACCTCTACTAACTAGTAGTAGCGGCGAGTAAGGGTCGATCCCACGAGAAGCAGGAATTAAGTTGTAACAATTTTCGTATTAATTGAATTAAACTAAGAAAGCAAATAAATGGGGGGTTTGGTTTTATAAAAATAAAAATAACAAAATGAAATAAAAATCAAATAAAATGAGAGAAGTCCAGTTTTCGGTTTAGTTATCACCCAATCTAAATCTACCGCTAATTAATCTCGACGCTTTCTTTAAATTTCTAATGAATTACCAATCCTAGTTAACAACAAGCTCTGTTAACCGAATTTTCCCTTACCGATTATTTAATCGAAATAATCTCTTCGACTAAACCTAACTAGTGGACAACCTAGAATAAGCTCTATAGATTTAATACACTAGCAGCATTAATTCTAGAAAAATAGATCTGTCTAAGCAATGGACGCGTAAGCTCGGACAATATAACTTATGTTCACGCTACCCTAAGGATGCACGACCCCTAGTTTACTACTAATGAAACAAAGACAATAACAATTACGGATTAAAGTCTCCTATCTAGCAGTTAAACTATGAATATTTAACGTAGCTGGCCAAACTATATCAAACATCATAATTCATAAACATTAAACATAGATAACGTGAATCAACTCATCAACAAAAATAAATACGGCGTCTCAATTAACCAACAATAAAAATAAATCCTTCAATTCATAGACAAATCAAAGTTAGGGTTTAAACATTCCCTAAAACTGGATAAAAATCCTAGCCTAGCATACTAATAAAAATAAATAAAAAGATAAAAAAAGAAGATAAAAATATCTCCCTCGTGTGCGGGTGCGGCTTCCCTCC